ACAATCATCCTTTTTGGGGTACAGAAGTGATAAGATATGTGCTATACCCTTTACAGTGGTATTCTTGTGTGACCAGATGAGACCGAAATTGTGTTTTTTGTTTTTTTTGTTTGTCTGTTTTGCTTTGTTTTCCTTTGTGATGCTAATTGCCTGTTAATATGCATTTAAGGCAATAAAGTAAAAAAAAAATAATTTTATTCAGCTTTACTGGGGTAATGTAGGTCCTCATTATCCAATTATATTGTGTTAATTTAAATCTAGAGTTAATGGAGAGGTTCTGGGCCTTTGAGCATATTTGGCTCCACTCACTGTCCAGGACACCTTCCTGTAAGTCCTCACTCCATAACCTCCTCTTTGAGTCAGATGACTCTTTAGAATGAGTTGAGAATATATTATAATATATATTGTAGAGATCTGGCCTTTAGTTTGCTGACGCTGGGTAGTAAACCGTTCTAATACTGTTAAAGGGGGACAAATAGATGAGTGATTTAACTTAGAGTGAATAAAGCTTCGCAGCTGTAGGTATTTAAAAAAGTGTGATTGTGGAATGTTGAATCTATCTTTGATTTCATTAAAGGACATCAGTGTATCGCCAATATAAAGGTCTATGATCTTTCTAATACCTTTGTTTGACCATTGTTTGAATCCTAAGTCTTTTGCGCCAGGTTTGAACTCTGTGTTTCCCCAGATGGGTGCAAAGGAGGACAGAGGTGGGTTATTACCTACAGCATTATGAGCTTCATGCCATACCATCAAGGTGTTTCTAACAAACGGATTTAATGTATTCTTCTTCAAGTTCTTAAGAGAGTCAGAATACAAATATTAGTCTAATGCTAGCCCTCTTGTGGACAATTCTTCCATTTTTACCCAAGGTAAGTCTGGAGATGAGAACCATAATCGAGCAGCTCTAAGCTGGGCTGCCCAGTAGTACCATATTAGGTTTGGTACCTTTAGGCCTCCTCTGTCAAATGGGAGGTACAGTAGTGTAAGTCGGAGTCTTGGGCGCCTATTTTTCCAAATGAACTTTGTAAGAGTTTTTTTCATATCTTTGAAAAAAGAAGGAGGAGGCGGGAGTGGGATTGATTGAAAGAGATAAAGAAATTTGGGGAGGACATTCATCTTGAAAGCGCTTATACGTCCAATCACAGACAAGGGGAGTGAGATCCATCTATTAAGAGATTCCTTGGCTTCTGAAATAACTGTGTCATAATTAGAAGAGATTAGATTGGGAGTAATAATGATACCAAGGTATCTGAATCCTTGAGGCGCATTCATAAATGGATGCCGGACAGTAGGGTGGAGTCTTTCCTGCTCATTAAGGAAGAGGACAGATGATTTAGTTTTGTTAACCCTGTACCCAGAGAACTTCCCAAATCTATTGATCACCTCGGTAAGGGCTGAAAAGGACTGTTCTACGTTTGTCAGGAAAAGTAATGTATCATCTGCAAACAAAGCTATGCGATGCTCTACATCTGCTATCTGAATTCCTTTAATAATAGGGTGGTTTCTAATGGAGATGGCGAAGGGCTCCAGCGCTAAAACAAAAAGCAGGGGGGACAAGGGACAACCCTGTCGGGTCCCACGATGAAGATTGAATGGACTGGAGATATAATTATTGGTCATAATTTCTGCACATGGTCCTGAGTATAAGAGCTTGATCTTACCTAAAGTGAAACACCAAAAACCAAAGCGGGAGATACTTCAAAATAGATACGGCCATCTCGACTCTTGTCAAACGCCTTTTCAGCATCCAGTGACAGAATACATGAATCTTGTGACTCTTTTTTTTTCCTGAATGATATTTAAAAGCCTTCTGATGTTATAATATGCCTGGCGGTTTTTTATAAATCCATTTTGGTCAGTGTGAATTAGAGATGGGAGGCATTTCTCAAGTCTCAGCGCCAGAACTTTAGCAATTATCTTTGTATCTGAGTTCAATAGAGAAATAGGTCTATAGGATTCACATCGTGAAGGACGTTTGTCTGGTTTTAATATCAACATAATAAGTGCATTTCTCAGGGAGGGGGGTAGGGTACCTTTTCGAAAAGATTCTTCATACATGTCCTTCAATGGGCTTATCAATTTGTTTTTGAATAATTTATAAATATCAATTGGGAGTCCATCCGGACCTGCTGTTTTCCCTCCTTTCATGTGGTTTATAGCCTCTGAGATTTCCTGACTTTCGAGTGTTCGGTCCATCCAGGATTTGTCTTGCTCAGATACGGTGGGGATGGGGAGTTGATTGAGAAAGGGAGATTGCTCTTCCTCTAATTCTGATCGTTCTGATTCGTAAAGGGTCTTATAATACATAGCAAAAGTATCATTTATTACTACAGGATCAACAATTATATCACCGTTTGGAGCTTGAATACTGTTGATGGCTCTTTCTGTATCCAACTTCTTTATTTGCCAAGCTAATAACTTTCCACTTTTCCCCCCTTGCTCGTAGAAAGTTTGTTTCAATCTTATTAAGGAATTTTCTGCCTTAGAGGCAGAGAGTGCATTATATCTGGCCCTAAGGGTAGCTAATTCCTGTGTATGGGGATTTGTCTTGTCTACCTCCCTCTCAAGTCGCTTAATTGACTCGTTTAAATTAAGCATTTCTAAATTTGTTTTGTTGGTTATTGAACTGGTGTAACTAATTATTTGACCTCGTATATAAGCCTTAAATGCCTCCCATCTTATACACTGTTAGCCCGGATTTC